CATCGATGGCGGAGGAGAGCTGCAGCAAGTCGTTCTACTTCGAGGACTGGGCCACCCGACTCATTGGCACCCCGCCCACGGAGATGGACCTCGACGGCATGAAGTGCTCGGCCGTCGAGAACAGCCCCCAGCAGCCCTACAAGGCACTCCGGTGAATCCTGCACACATAACAAATCAATCAATATACAGAAAAAATACCTGTCCAACCACTTCCTCGGCCTTTTCGCGTGCACATAACTACGCAGCTATTTATTTGTTTATCTATGTTATTGTTTGCACAACAGACACCCTTTTATTTGTTTTGGTATTTTATATTTTTGTCGACGTCGCGGAAAAAGGGAAGGAGGTGTGCTACCGGGATTCCCCCAGAAGTTGATAGGTCGCTCCAGCATGCCACGTGGCCTCGGCCCGAGGAATCGACGAATCCATGGCCATGCATTGTTTGGATTCCGATCTGCACGTGCGTTGAAGTTTTCTGCGGACGCACTGTAAAGAAATCATGAAAGAAAACCAGTGGTAGTAAAATAAAAAACTCGATTGACGATGAGCGGCTTGCGGGGGGTGTTCGTGAGCACGGAAGCGTTCCTCGTGTGCATGTCCCATGCCCTCACCACCGAGAAGGAGGAGGTCATGGGGCTTCTTCTCGGCGACATCAAAGTAAGACCCTTTTCTTTCACCATTTCATATTTTTGGAGCCTTTCACACGTTTGCTCATCCCCTCCTCCTTCATCCGCAAAGAAATCAGCACGAGGTGCCATCGCCTTTGTTTCGCACGTGTCGGTGCTCACCAGGTGCGCTCACCGGCCTTATTTCTGCTTTCATTATACTTATGTAATTTATTTTTATTTTTATTTTTATTTTTATTTTTATTTATCTACAAAAGATCGGACAAGCGAAAGGACCGTGTAGAAATCGAGCCGGCACAGCTCACGGCCGCCGCCGCCGAGGCCGAGGTACACTGCATCTCGCGTGCATGTGCGTGTTTGCGGCAACGTTGCGTTATCTCGCGTGATTCAACGACTTCCTTTTCGTTCATCCTCGTCGTGTCACTGACCGGTGTGCGTTGTGGTGCCTTCACAGCGTCTCTCGGTGCAACTGGGCAAGCAGATCCGTGTGGTGGGCTGGTACCACTCCCACCCGCACATCACCGTGCACCCGTCTCACGTTGGTACGTACCACCTCTTGAACGTTTTTTGATGGAAATTGAAATGGTTTGGTGGAAATTGTTGGAAAACGAAACGCAAACTGTTTGGTTTTTGGTTTAAAAAAACATGCAGACGTGCGAACGCAGGCCATGTACCAGATGATGGACAGCGGCTTCATCGGACTCATCTTCTCCTGCTTCAACACAGATGCCGAAATGGTACCCCTCTCTCCTTGTGTGTTGTTGTGTGGTGTGTGTGTGTGTGTGTGTGTGGAGTGGGTGTGGTTGTGAGCGAGTGTGTGAGTGGGTGGTGCGTGTGCGTGTGCGGCGCGTTTTAACTGGGAGCTTGGGGGAATAGAACGGCCGAATTCAAGTGATAGCGTTCCAGTCGCTCGACCTCGGCCAGGCAGGCGGCCAGACGCAAGGCGCCGGGTACGAGCAGGTCAACATCCCGCTGACCGTGGTCCCGCCGGACGCCAACGCGCCCAACACGCTCGTCAAGCTCGTCGAACTCCAGCAGATCATCGGCCAAGAGGACCGCGCCTCCTATAACGAAGCCATCGCCCCAGCACCCGGGTAACCTGTCCCTCTGCTGTGTGTGTCGTGTGTCGTGTGTCGTGTGTCGTGTGTCGTGTGTAGCAATGCTGACGATCGGCGACAAACAGAGGTCGGGTGCATCCGCTCATGGAGGTGTACAGTGGAGCGGTCCACCAAAAATCGGTGGCGCGGCTGCTCGAGTACGGATCGCAGCCTCTCCTGCGACTCCTCCGCGATCGCCAGGAGCAAAATAAGCGACGCGTACGCCCGTCTCTTTCTTTCTTTTTATTCTTTTTCCATTTATTTAATTTAATTATATTCTAAATATTATTTTATTTTCCCTTGTGATTCGCAATGCCACCGCGCCCCTAATGCGTTTGTTGGAACAGTTGGAGGAACTGCGAGCGGAAAAGGCGAGACTACTGGCACTGAAGATCCAGGACAGCATCATGAAGGAGTAGTGTGCCCAAAAAAGAAACGTGCACTCTCTTCAACTAACTGTTCCTTGTCTGCACAGAAGACTCCTGTAAGTAGCCTTTTTTAGTACCTTCGATCAAAGGTAAAACAACTGAAAAAGGAATTTAGTTATTAGGCAATTCGGGTTACAAGAGTTGTTGTGTTGCGTGTTGCACCGGTAGCCCTAAAAAGGGACTGCATCACCATTTCTGGTGTTACACTAAAACATGGTCTTTCCGCTGTTTCTGTTTTTTTTTCGTTTTTCCGAACCAGAAACACTTCATTTGGCTTGCTGTCCTTTCTGAACTCGCGCCTCGCACCCGCCGCCGCGGAACCCGCTGAACTTCGATGGTGCAAACGAAGGAAAGGAGAGAAGAACAAAAAAAGAGGAGTTCCCTGTACAACCGGGTCTGTGTTTGGTGTGGTGCTGCATGTCTGTACAGATCAAGTTCCACGCGCGCCATGGCGCAAAGCAAAGTTGACGCGAGAATGGAGTAGGCCTAGGAGGAGGGTCGGCCTCCCGCACCGCCCTCGTAGCGTTGCTTGCGCATGCCGTGGAGATCACCGCGGGCCTTGTCCAGCTCGGCTTCCAGACGCAGGATACGCGCCTGAGAGT